GTCAAAAGGCCATTTTTTAAAATATTTTAGTTGTAGATGGACTCAATATCTTTATTTTGTTTATTTATTTTTTTATGTGGTGCTGAGAATGGAACCCAGTGCCTCACACATGCCAGGCAAGTGCTCTACCATTGAGCCACAACCCCAGCTCCCCAAAATGCCATTTTTAAAAATAAAAAAAGGCTCAGAAAACAGGTACCACCAGAGAGGAATAATAGCCCAGTAGAATATGCTGGCAATAGATCACTTTATATTGAGTCATTTTCTCTCTACAGAGATAAACTTCCCACATTGCCACTTCGAACACTTACAAAAACAGAGCAGGAAAAAAATAGACCCTAGCACATCAATGCTCTTGTGATAGGAAAAAAGTCTCCAGTAATTTAAAAAAAAAAAAAAAAAAAAAAAAAATCAACATTACTTGTATTTATCTCCTTACTATCATGTTTATATATCAAATTTGGCCAGCAAAACTGTCTCAAAATAATTCTTTTACTTCACAAAGCGCTATTCTTTTGCAATAGTTCTGTCCTATCTTAAGGCAGAAGTCTATCTAGAGCATTTGCATAAAAAACCAAAAAGACTTATTTCAAAATTAGGTTCTAGGGCTGGGTTGTAGTTCAGTGGTAGAGCATTGCCTAGCATGTGTGAGGCACTAGGTTCAATTCTCAGCACCACATATAAATAAAATATAGGTACACTGACAATTAAAAAAATATTAAAAAAAAAAAAAACAGGTTTAAGGGCATGCCTATAATCCAGCTAAGGCAGACTAAGGCAGACGAATCACAAGTTCAAGGCCAGCCTCGGCAACTTAGTAAGACCCTGTCTCACAATAAATGGACCATTTATATAAATTCAGTGGTACAGTGACCCTGGGTTTAATCTCCAGAAAGCGCGCGGGTGGCGGGCAGCACCGCGGGGACTGACAGCTTCTCTCTCATAACTAGGCTTCAGTTCCTCATCTCTCTAAAAAAGGATATTACTGCCCTCATGGGATTGTTGTAAAGATTAAATATAGGAAGTATATAGTCCAGTGTCTACAACATAAGTTCTCACTAAATGCTATTATCAGTAGTTTTCAAACACCGCTTCTCCATTAAGACCTAGCAGACAGATCCAAAGGCCTCTTAACCCTCTTATCAGTAACAGTGGCTAATAAGAGTAGAAATTCTCCACCTACAGATATGCACCTTTGTTCTTCAATTGTACTGCACTCACCACCTTGGTACCCTGACCAAGTGACCTCTACCTCTTGCCATGTTTCCCAGCAGAACAGCTATAAGATCTATAAGATCCTCTATTTCACCTGAGGACAAAACTGAAAACTTTCTGGTCTTCCTTCATTTTGTCAACATAAAATTTCAGAATACCTCCCGGAAAAGGTACATGAAAACACAACAGCCTCTGCCCTAGAATAGGTCAGTCCAGGAGGTGAGTTAAACACCAAAACCATAAATTACAAGGTAGTACAATGACTGTAAATGTAATCTATGGGTAGCCCAAAACAAACATACCACAGCAACTACCCAGAGTTCTCTAATGTTGTTCATTATCTCATGTGTCCAGTCTAACAGAATTGTGTGGTAGTGGTAAATACCAATTCCAAGTGGGGGTCTCCAGTTTAGGCCCCCTGGGAAGGGAACAGGTTTTGCCATTTAATATTATTAACTCAAGTTTGCTAACTGACCTGGATAAAACTGCTCCATAAGTCAAGATGTGATTCCTTATGATTGGGCTCAGCCTAAGACAGGCCAGAGTAAGCCTTCAATGAATACTTGACTGGGGGTGTAGCTCAGTGGTAGAGCACGGCCTGCCTTAGCATGTGCAAGGCCCTGGGTTCAATCCTGGGTTCAATGCTGCAAAAATTTAAAAAAACAAAACAAAACAAAAACAAAAACAAAAAACACTTGTTGACTTGCACAACACAACCAAATTTTAGATCTTAGAGCTCTGCCAAGGATTGACCAAGAGTTTGATTTGCCCACTTAGTAAAGAATAAGCTGAGCACTTTGATTTGCCTTTCAGCTTCATTCGACAGTCTACCATTAGGAAACCCAACGTAAGATTTTATAGATATATAATACAGATTTTAAACACTAATGTTTGTAATTTTTAAACACTGTTTAGCCAACTAAGGTAGAAATAACAGGTTTTCTGCCTTTGCCCATTACACAGGTGCCACCCAAACCAAACACCTACCTTGAGTTTTCTCTATATTTCTCTACAGCTGCCTACAATATAATACCCACCCCAACCCTGGAATATTCTGCCTCTACCTCAAATTCAACATGTATACAAAATTTAATCCCCTTGTTCCCAAATCAGATCCCCTTTGTACTTTGCCCCTATTATTTCATTTTCTTAGGGAACCTAAGATTTCTACTTGAGTCAACAAAGTCTGCATGTCTCTGTTCCATACTATTCATACGGTGCCAGGGATCAAACCCAGGACCTCAAACATTAGGCAAATGTTCTACTACTGAGCTACACCCCAATCCCTCATACCTTCTTTTACACTGCTTACATCAGTTCTGTTAAACAGGTTATCCAATTAGTCTCAGCCATTACCCACTCCAATCTCATTACCAATTAAACCTTCCCAAACTTCAAATGAATAAAAGCCATTCCAAACCCAAAAAACTCTGTTGCATCCCAAAATAAATCTAAGCCTGGCATTCATGGCCTTTATCTCTGCAACCATATCCTTTTCCCCCAACCTTACTTAAAAGCTAAAGAGTTAGCAACTCATGCATTCAATACATTTATTTGAAAGCTCTATCATAGGGCTGGGGATGTAGCTCAGTGATAGAGCACAACTGGATTTAATTCCCAGTACCAAAAAAAAAAAAAAAAAGAAAGAAAAAGTGTCCTAGATGCACAGGAAGCTCCCTATACATTATACTTCTTAGTATCCTCACCTACACATGCTTATGAAGCAGCACTGACACTGAGGATTTTGTCAGTAAAATAGAGACCTATGATCATTGTGTTGAGTAAGAGGATAAATTCTGACTGTTTCCACCATAGTACACTACTTTTTTTGAGGGATCAAGGGAAGCATAACTGAGAATTCAGATTTGCAAATGTGTTTTTGAGGCAAAACAGAAAGCATGAGAGGTCTAGTGAAAGATGTCAATTCTTGGGGCCGGGTTTGTGGCTCAGTGGTAGAGTGCTTGCCTAGCAGGCACGAGGCACTGGGTTCGATCCTCAGCACCACATAAATGTATAAAATAAAGATATTGTGTCCACCTAAAACTAAAAAATAAATGTTTTTTTTTTTTTAAAAGCAGGCTTAAGCCTAAAAAAATTATTATAAAAAAAGAAAAAGTCAATTCTTTCTGCTAATCGGAACTCAGACTGGTTATATAAAATGAACCTTTGCAAGTTTAATCTACACCCAATTCCCAAAAATAGTCTGATTCAAAGTCTCATCTGCTGGTCAGGCAAAACTCTCCTGTTTGTAAAATACAGTCTGATTCCAGCTTTGGTTTTAAGTTATTAAGATTAAAACTTTTCAAATTAAGCAAAATCAGGGAAGTACAGAGGAATAAAACTGAACAAAGTATGTTGTGTGCACATATGAGTAAGTAACAGAGAGTCCCACTGTAACAGAGAATTACAATGCACTAATAAATTTTTAATTAACCAAAATCCAACAATTTCTTAGAGCAACAGAATAAACATGGTTATAACCTAAAAGCAACCAGGTGTGGTGGCACACACCTGAAATCCCACCAACTCCAGAGGTTGAGGCAAGAGGATCACTTAACGAGGCCCTTAGCAACTTAGCAATTAGAAAATAAAAAAGGGCTGGGGATATAGCTCAGTGGTAAGGGCCATTGATTCAATCCCCAATACCAAAAAATTAAAATTAAAATAAATAAAAACCTAGGGGGAAGGGGATTAGCAAGGATGGTGGAATGTGATGGTCATCATTATACAAAGTACATGTATGAAGACTTGAATTGGGTGTCAACACACCTTATATAGAGATATGAAAAGTTGTGGTATATATATGTTTTAAGAATTGTAATGCAGGGAGCCTGGGGTTGTGGCTTGGTGGTAGAATGCTCGCCTAGCATGCATGGGGCACTGGGTTCCAATCTCAGCACCACATAAATGTAATATAAAGATGTGGTAGCCACCTAAAACTTAAGAATAAATATTTTTAAAATAGTAATAATTGTAATGCAAAAGAAAAGTACATGTATAATGGCATAAATTGACGTGAACATACTTTATATAGATACGAAAAATTGTGCTTTATATGTGTAATAAGAATTGTAATGCATTCTACTGTTGTATATTTAAAAAAAATAAAATCAATTAAAAAAATAAAATAAATAAATAAAAACCTAAACACCACAACCAATCCCTCCTGATACAAAACAATCAGTTCCATTTCTTTTTTTTTTTCAGAGTAGAAATTAGAAGTTTATTAAAGGACAGCAGAAAAGACTTCTCCCGGAGGAAGAAGGGGACCCAAGAGGTGGAATCCCAATCAGTTCCATTTCAACAATTGCACTTGAGCGGCTGATGCTGTTATCAACTTCCAACTACTTTCAATTATAACACCTTGAAAATAAGTCACCCAAACCCAACAAAAAAAAATTTATAAAATATATTTGTCCTAAAAACAGCCTAAACAGTTCTTGAAATTATCTGATCGGTGGGGAAGGTATTCTTTACTAACAAGGTATTCCTAAAAATATTTTATGTACATTAAAACAGTCATTCATTCCATTTAATTAAATTAATTAATTAATTTAAATTCATTCCATTTTAAATGATTTAGTTATTTACAATTTAGTACCCAAAGGGAAAATTACCCAGTGACAATATGACAATGATCATTCTTTAAAACAAGTGACTCTTTTGTTTAGAACAAACTAAATTAGAAATTTAAGCTTTTAAAGACATTCATTGAAAGCAGTTATTGTAAGTGGATAGTGATTATAAAAGAGTTGGAAAGCTTAAATAGTGAACTTTTTTTTTACCTGATGTTCTGCATGAATGTTATCCCCAGTAGGCCATCGATGTTTGCTATTATTATAGCCGCCTCCACCACTTCCTCCTCCCCCAAGCTGCTCACCATGCTGCCTCTGAAAGAAGTAGTCCACCATAGCGTCGTCCTGTGAACGGCCTGCAACTCCTATGGATCCTGGGACAGGGCTGGAGTGTGTCCCAGCTGCAAGAGCCTGATTTGCAGCTGGTTGTGGCTGCGCTTGGGACCCTGTTCCAGATGTCAAAACAACAGGCATGTTGGGATTAGCTGGTTCTTGAGGGTGATGTTTCAGGTGGGGGCTGAAAGAGTCCTGCCAAAGCACTGCTTTTCTCTTCAAGACACATGCAACGCTCATTCCACCAACACCTAAGGACAGATAGGTTATATACGTTTAATATTTGCATTTTGAAACAACTTGATAGACACTAATAAAAATATGAACTCCACATCTTCTGCTATACAATCAACATTAACCAGTTTCTACCAAGCTGCCAATTTTATATTATACACACAAATTCCTAAACTAAAATCTTCATTTTTAAGTTGTTGAATCTCTGCTAATGTAAATAAAGGTAATTGATGGTCATGGTTCTGACAAGATATTGAAATCAGGACTCAATACCACAACTTCTGGGAAGCCTTTTCAAAAGGTAGCAATATAGGGGCTGGGATGTAGCTCAGTATTAGAACACTTTTTTAACATGTGAGACCCTGGTTTCCATTCCTATCCCTAAATTTAAAAATAAAAATAAAAAAAGAGCTGGGCACGGTGGGCATGCCTGTAATCCCAGCAACTTTAGCAGATTATCGAGGTACTCAGCAACTCAGTGAAACCCTATCTCTAAATAAAATATAAAAAAGGACTGGGAATGTGGCTCAGTGGTTAAGCATTTCTTGGTTTAATCCCTAGTAACAAAAAAAAAAGTAAACAGACTCAGACTTCAATTGGTGGCTTCTGTACTGAGCTTACTTGCTCCTTAAGCCAACTGTGGTACATAGTTTTTAAATCAACAAGAGCTTTTTTTTTTTTTTTTGGTCAATGGACCTTTATCCTTTATTTCATTTATGTATAGGCAGTACTGACAATTAAACCCAGCACCTCACACACCAAAGAGCCACAACCCCAGCCCCTAAATCAACAAGAGCTTTTTAGAACAACTTTACTGCTGGATATACCAATAAACAAACTACGAAATAATCAATAGCTGAAGATTGTCTAATTTGAAAAGACCCTTTAAAATGCCCAACATATTCCACAGGATACTCCTTGAAGAAACAATTAGACATTCTGACCAAGAACAACAACAGAATATTCTTAGCCTAAACCCTCTCCTCAGCTGCTACTGATGAGGGGGGAAATTCAAGACTTTAACCAATAAAGTACAATTTAAATGTAATCTTATAATTATTCCATTAGTGCTTTGACACCTAGAAACAGAATGAGAAAAACCAAATTCACTTTACTAGAGTAGAAAGCCTCACTGTAAAACCAGAAATCTCACCACAGTAATACTGTGGCAAATATAATGCAGACATTATCTCATCACAGAAACTTTGAAAGGTAAGGATTTTCATTCCTATTTCCCAGATGAAAACATTAAGGCACAAAATTATGATATGCCCAAGGTCATTTATCAAGTGAGTAGCAGAGAAGGCTCTCAATCTATTCTGTACCCAAACTTAGTTGTTTCTATCTGCACCCCTTGCAACAGTATCTCTCACCAGTCTCCTCTACTCCTCTGAAAGAAGCCTGAAAATGTTACTATTAAATATTACAATTTAAGTTCTAAAAATCAAAAAAGTTACATTTGTATATACAAAGTAAATAAATCAGTTACCAATTAACAAACATCTGTTCACAACCTCAGAGAGCCTAATTTCAATAGTCCAGTGCTCCATGTCTTATCACTCTTATTTCAAAACCGGATTTATGAAAAACCTATCTCTCCTGAATAATTAAGCCTCCTGACAAAGTAGCATTCACTTCTCACAACTAACTTGTGTTTGGAAGTCAGAAGTAAGAAGACACAATAGAATTTGTGATCTCTTCAAAGCCTAATTTGGAAATGCCTAGCCTAGGTTAACAACTCCAATCCATCAGAGGCTTCCTGAAGTACTGGTGTAGTTTAGTCTTCTAAACTTCTCAGTTTCTCTCTTCATGAATAAAATCTTGTCCTCGCTCAAGTAGCAAAATAAGTAAACCATGCCTGTTTCACCATCAGCTTTTGCAAAGTACAAAACAGCCTAATGCCTTCCCAACTCAATTTTCAAAAGGACTCATTGCCTTGTTTCCAATAGTGGATAGTCCCATTTTCTTCCACCAGGGAATCTCAATCTATCTTTGTTTTAAAATATACCAGAAGCCCCAAAACCAAGTTTTGCCACTGAACAATATCTCTGAGCCTGTTTCTTCATCTAGAAAACAGAAAATATGCTTTCTCTATGCAATAGTATCTCTCACAAGTCCAAAATCTATGCAATAGTTTTGGGTTTTTTTTAATTATTATTATTAAAATATACAAAAGTTACAGATAAGTTTAAAGTCACCATGCTGAAGAGCCCACACATTAGTTACCACCAGTTAAGGCAATGCAGCTCCAAGCTCTAGAGAATTCCTAAAATAGTAAATGTAATCTTTTCTGATATAAAAGACCTGTCAAAATAGTTATCTAAAATGAATTTCCATATGAAAAAAGAATTTATCATGGAAGCACACTGAAAACAACCTCATTCCAAAAAGGGATGGGAGAGGCTGGTTTCTATAAAAATGTTCAAACAAAACAATTGGCTTTTGTAAAGCTATCTGTAGGGCCTGCAACTTCCTGCTTTACCTAATGAGGCAAGGTAGTTTCTCAAAGGAGAGAAAACCTGGCAGAAGGGACAATTTGAAAGTGAGAAAATACTTAAGTAATTAATGTATGTCTTGGGTAATTTTGTAATACCCTGTCACTACAGCACAAAAATTAAGAAACAGTCACCTAAATGTTAGTAAACAAAATTGTTAATACCTTTTAGGGAACTCTCAAAGTTCACTAAAAAGTTATGTTTAAACGGATTTCAAATGTAATTTTTTACAAATGACCCATGAAAATAAGTATTTTAAGCAACTAGAATTAGGTGTCAATTCTAGCTACTCTTCCATAGTTTCCTGTTTACATCAAGGTGTGGATTTTTTTTTCTTGTTTTGTTTTGATTATCATTAATAGAGTTTACTTCAAATAAAGGAACATGGTTTAATCTTTCTCCTCCTACTAAAATGGCTAGTGGTTTAAAAGGTGTTTATTTTTACCATGCTGAACAAACATTCTGTGGTCATAAATTTATTTTAAAGCAATTCATCTCAAATCCAAACTAAACAAATTCCAACTTCAAGAAGTCGGTGGCCTTCGAAAAAATGAATTCAAGTGTGGTGAAGGCAAAAATACTAACTCGAAAGTTCATAATCTATTATTTCCCAAAGACCCAGATAAAGAATCAACAGCCACCAGAGTGTTTCAAAGTTAAAATTGGCAAGGGATCAAAATGTTTGTTTTGTTTACTAAAAACTACATCGGAAGCCACATACCTTGAGGGAGGCTTGTCTTGGTGATTTTGAGCGTATTCAAAATACGAACAAAAAGCTAAAGCTACAAACCTATTATCTGAGAACTGACTTTTAAAACAGAATACCCCCTTCAAAACAAAATTTTTTTAAAAAAAAAGCCTCATAAAGCCTTAGTCTTAATAACAGGACTTGAGCAAAATGATCAATAACTAGAACAGTGTTTTCTAAATTGAACAATGAAGGGGTGAGGATTAAAGTTATGATGAGGACAAAGCCTTCTCTGGTAATTTGTGTGTGGGTTCTTTGGTTTGGGTTTGGGGTTGGGGTTGGGGGGGAGGGGGACGACACTGGAGAAAACAAAGTTAGAGGAGCGTATTCCTCACTTGACGTGGGAGTGGTACTGGCAAGTAAAATAAATGACCTGTGTTTACCAAGCACGTTCGTGAGAACGCCAAGTGTCCAGTTATTGTGTGTGTGGATGGTTTTCCGGCTCCCAAGAGCAGAGCCCCTCGGAGTTAAGAGACACACCAGTACAGACAGGCTCCTCCGAGAGGAGGAACCTACCCCAAACACCAGCTCTCACGGAAACAAAAGGCCACAAAGCACCCAGGAGCCTCAAAAGCGATCTGAAACTTCCTGATCGCCACTTCTCCACATTTAAAGCTTGCAAAGTTCCCCCACGGCGGGTCTCGCCCGTGGACCCGGGCCACGGCTGCTTCTCCTGTGCTTTATTGTTCCCCCTCCATCGGCGCTGCCACGGAAGCTTAGGAAGTCGAAGAATCCCGGGGTGGCACAGAATTACACTCCATGGCCACACAGAGGAATCCGGGCTTCGCAAACCCGTCAAAAAAGCAACCCGAACGGCAACATCCATCTCCGGAGACTCCCAACAAGGCCGAGCACAAACACAGAGACGCCTCTGGGCTCCGGGCCCGGGCCTAAACCCCCGGCCTTCTCCTCGCTTCGACCCCGCTCCCCACCCCCTCCCTCCTGTGATAACAATAGGGGCCTTGCTGCTGACTCCAAAACATGTACGAAGAACAGCGAGTGAGGAGCCTCAGCCAGGGCCCCGGCGGCTTTTCCAAAGCCCTTCTCACCCCACCAAACGCTCTCAAACACCAATACGAAGGGATAATCTGCTCGCTAGGGGTGCGGAGTAGCGTTTGGGACCCGCGGGGTGCGGATACTCACGGGCGGAGCGGTAGGATGAAGATGGATTTCAGCCCCCCGATCTTCTCTCTCCGGCGCTCTCGCTCCCCCTTACCTTTCACTCCGACAACATGGCGGCCCACTGGGGACTGGGCTGGCGCGGTGCATCATGGGATAGGCTCTGGCCCCGGCTCCGGCGGTGGCAGCGGCGTGTGCCGAGAAGGCAGAGCGGCTCGGGAACAGGTTGCCTGGTTGCCATGCCAACCCGGGGCCTGTGTGAACTTGGGAAACTTGCAAGCAACACAACCCCTGCGCGCGCGAGTGCCCGCCCGCTGGGCGAGCGCGCGCCGCCGAGGGCAGAAGGCGGGGTGCCCCTGGCCGGCACCTGAGCGCGCACGGTGCGCGCGGGCGCGGGGCTGAGCTCGGCCGGAGCTGGGCAGGCTGGCGGCGCGGGAGGCCCGCGAAGTCCTGCGCGCGGTTCTCTGCCCAGGGAGCCCGCCCGCAGGTTATTCCAGCTTGGCGGCGCCCGCAGGGCTCTGGCCTTAGACGTGGGCAGGACAAATACCTAACTTAACATCGCTAGCCTGAGGCGTTATTTAACCTTCCTGCCTCCATTTCCCCATTTGTGAAATAAAGAGGTAAATAGTAACACCTCCCTAACTGAGGGATTAGGGGAATAGCATATGCAAAATACTTAGCACAGTACGGGGACTAAGCAAGGCCACACAGCACAATTTGCAAGATCCCAGGGCAAAATGAAAACGCGAGGCTCCTGGTTCAAAAATGATCATGAATTTTAAGATGGCGACAAGAGAACATTAAACCAAGAACATGGGGGTGCTGGGGTTGTGGCTCAGTGGTGGAGCACTTGCCTAGCATGTGTGACGCCCTGGGTTCGATTCTCAGCACCACATACAAATAAATTTTTAAAAAAATCATCAACAACTAATAAAAATATTTTAAAAATAAATAAATAAACCAAGAACATGAAGCCAACCCTACTAAAAAGCACTCAGTCTCAATGTCAGCTGCTGTCATTCTGTCCTGGTTCGAGAAAGAAGGGAAATGTGGCCATCTGATCAAAATGACTTTTTAAGTCAGTAGTATTTGATAAGATAGTTATGTTATTTCAAACTAAACTCAGAGTGGATTGAATACTTAGGCAAACCACAATCTTATTTAAAAAAAAAAAAAAACCTGAAGATACTGGGGGAAAAAAGTGAGCTGTATAATTGGAGGAGTTGTATATTTATATATTTATGAATCAAAACCAATAGATCATAAAAAGGTGGAAAGAAATGTAACCATCTACACAGGAAAAGAGGCCATCAACAAAGTAAAACTAACAAGAAAATGGTTAAGAACATTTGCAATATATATGGAAGGCAAATAAAGATGATAAATATAAAACTTCTCTAATCAATTTAAAAAAAAAAAAAAAAAAAATCCAAGCTTACAGCCATTGCACTCACACTGTAATTCAAGCTCAGGAAGCTGAAGCAAGAGGATAGCAAGTTTGAGGCCAGCCTGGGTAATTTAGTGAGCTCACCTCAAAATAACACATAAAAAAGACTGGGGATGTAGCTCAGTGGTAGAGCACTTGTGTAGCATATGCCAGGCCCTGGATTCCATCTCCTCTACTGGCCAAAAAAAACTGTCACTGTGGTTGCAAAACTGGAAATATACACTCAACTATACACTTCAAATGAGTTGTTTTTTGGTTTTTGTTTTATTTTTTGTGGTGCTGGGGATTGAACCCAAGGCCTTGTGCTGGGGGTGTAGCTCCATGATAGAAAGCTTGCCTGGCATACAAAAGACCCAAAATTCAATTTCCACTACTGCAAAAAATAAATAATTTTTTTTTATTTGTTAACATGGTGTTTCTGGAAGTATGTGAGAAAATCAGCACTCAGGTTGTTTAAATTGAGCATATATTAGTTTTATTTACCAAAAAGAAAGAGGAAGGGCTGGGGATGTGGCTCAAGCGGTAGCACGCTTGCCTGGCATGCGTGCGGCCCGGGTCCGATCCTCAGCACTACAAACAAAGATGTTGTGTCCGCTGAAAACTAAAAAATAAATATTAAAAAAAAAAAAAAGAAAGAGGAAATTTTTGCTTTGTTTGTTTTTGTTGTATACTAGAGATTGAAGCCAGAGGTGCTTAACTAGTGAGCCATATCCCTGGCCCTTTTTATTTTTATTTTTATTTTGATACAGGGTCTCACTAAATTGCTTAAGGCCTCAAGAAGTTGCTAAGGCTGGTTTTGAACTCTCCTGCCCCAGTCTCCCCAGCCACTGGGTTGTAGTTATGGTTTTATATTCACTGGGACTGCAAGCAAGCACCACTCCGCTTGGCTCCTTCTCCTTTTTAAGATTTTGATTTCTCAATAAGATTTAGAGGTTAGCAGGGCTCACCCTGGTAATCCCAGCAGCTCAGGATGCTGAGGCAGGAGGATCATGAGTTCAAAGCCAGCCTCAGCTATTTAGTGAAAGACACTAAACAACTCAGTGAGACTCTGTCTCTAAATAAAGTACAAAATAGGGCGGGGATGTGGCTCAGTGGTTAAGTGCCCCTGAGTTTCAATCCCTAGTTAAAAAAAAAAAAAAAAAAAAAAAAAAAACTAATTGAAAAAAAGACCCTGAGCTCTGCTACTTCCTGGCTTTATGACTTTGGGTAATTCTGAGTAGCGTCTATAAAATGAGGGTGTCACTACTCTTTCAACAGGGTAGTTATGATGGTTAAAAAAACTAATATATATATTATATAAAGGGTCTGGTACCAAATTACTATCCAAGTGTAGCAGTTAGGTTGTAGTTTTGGTTTTATATTCACTTCTGAATCCCTGGTAGCCAACTTAGTGCAAGGCATACAATTATTGCTCATTAAATGTTTCTTAAACTAGGCACAGTTGTGCAGGCTGCTAATCCCAGCAGCTTGGGAGGCTGAGGCAGGAGGATCTCGAGTTCAAAGTCAGTTTCAGCAAAAGCAAGGTGCTAAACAACTCAATGAGACCCTGTCTCTAAATTAAAGGGTTGGGGGTGTGGCTCAGTGGTCAACTGCCCCTGAGTTCAATCCCTGTACCCCCCAAAAAAGAAATTTCTTAAATGTATGAATTCCGACAGGCCTGGTGGTACCTGCCTCTAACCCCAGCAACTCAGGAGGCTGAAGCAGGAGGATTGTAAATTAGGAACCAAAAATGCTGGGGATGTTGCTCAATGGTAGAGGGCCCCTGGATTCAATCTCTGTTACGGCAAATACATGAACTCAACAGCTATTTACAGTGTCAATACTCAAATTCAAAAATCCTATATGTATATTTTATATTCTGAGATCCATGTCTGGAGCCAGACCAAAAATTACTTTGCTTCCCTGAGCCTTCTTTCCGCCCCCACCCCCACCCCCACTCCGTGCAATTTGGAGTTAATATAACAGTATTAAATGAGATAAAGTAGATAACATATTGAGACCATGAGGCCAGGACACCACAAAGTGCCGGATAGCCATAACAGCAAAACATACAAAAGGAATAAACAGCATTTATAAGAAAGTTTCAGTTTTCAGAATTTTACCACTCTCTGTGCTCCTTGATTCCATCCTGAGATCCATGACTAATTCCTTAGTTTTAACTTTAGCTTCCACAATCAGACAGATTCTAACGTCAGTCAGCCATACTCATGTGATACCAGCCTTTAGGCCTCTAGTCAATCAAATGATGCAATACCAGCAGAATGGGTGTCACCCATCCCTGATCTCCCTTAAGAACTTCCTTTTAAAGGGCCTGAAGCCCCCACCCAGCCCCAAATAACCTATCAGAACAAGGTAACCAGCAAATTCATGAGACTATCCTATTATCCAATAAAAAAGAGGATGTTCATTATTTCATTTAAAATTCCCAAAATACCTATGACATGAATGAAATTTTTTATTCCTATTTAAAAACGAGAAAACCAAGATTAGAGAAGTTAAGAACTGGATTAACATTTATCCAAACATGTCTAAGGCTATTCACTGAGAGTTACATGGGCAAGACAATGTGGAAATCATGCCTAAAACTTGGGGATACTTTCAATTCATTTGGCTAAACCCATATGTCACAGATAATATCATCAATCTTTGGGAATTTCTAAAACCTAAAAATCTAATCAAGATGACCTTGGGAAAGGATTAGAGTGGATTTGAGAATGGTAATTTAAATCTATTCAAAAGGAACCTAATCCAGGCCATTGTAACCTCATCAAAGAAAGCCCTATAAAAGTCTCAAATTGGAAATTTTTAGTGAAGGTCATTTGACACAGCCTGGGTTCAAGAATTTCAAATATCACCTCTTCCTCCTCCATATGGTAGTGGTCAGAAGTTTACTGCTAAGTCAGCCAACCTCATCCTGGCCATTCTGACAACTAAGGACAAATTCCAGGGGTTTATTTATTTGTTCACTTACTTATTGCCTTCCCCAGTGCTGAGGATTGAACCCAGGGTCCTGTACATGCAAGGCAAACATTCTATCAGGGAAGAATATCCCCAGCCTGACTCTCATTGTGACTTACAACCAAATGTTACTGACTAGAAAAAGTTGCTATAGTGTAGCATTCATAAACTTAGTATAAAGCATTGTCAGCAAAGATTGGATCCCCTAATTTTCTGGAAGGATATTTAGTTAACACTATTGGTTTTCAACTGTATTACACTAATATTCTTGCTTCTTTGTAGAATCTCCCTCGGGTGGCACTTCCCATCCTGTTTTGGGGCTTGGGTAAGTGTTACACTGTTGACATTTCCATTGTCAGTTCTCTTTCTTAGCAGATCATGGTTATTAGAGTGCTTTTCCCATCTGAAAGTAGGCAGAAGGAGGGGTTGGGGTTTCTGGTATTGGTGATTAGGTAATTCTGAGCAAGCCTCCCACTGAGGGAAAACTAGTAAAACTGGAAAAACATAAAAATCCCTGCTTGATATGGTTGGAAAGCTAACAAGCTAGTGAAGAATGATAGAGCCAAGGCCTGGGTAAGAGAATAACTGAGAGATAGATGCCAGCCCACATTGAGAACTACTTTTCCAGCTAAGGCATTTCTTGAGAGAGAGTTAAGAGGACAAGGGGAAATATTAACAATACAGACTGGTGTTCAGAACCTGCTAGGCAAGAGTGTTCCTC